TGCACACTCCTCGCAGCAAGTTGCACAAACCTATGCGGCAAACACACACAAAGAGGTCAGGGTACCTTCGTCGTGGTAGAACGCTACCGAGTCACAAATCAGGTCATTGATGGGGTCACGAGTGTGAGAGTCGTGGATTGGTCGAGTCCCACGGGCATAGCTATCGGTCCACATTACCACGCTGCCTGTACCGCGGGTATAGAAGGCAAAAGTGCGCGGATAAAGCATCCCGCCGCCGTCTCGAGCGACACAGGCGAAGAAGCGATCAAAGTCAAAGCTCGACTCGCTGCCATTCAAAGTGTGCGCTTCGGGCGATCAAGCGCGCGCGCAGCATCGCTACAATCCAATCGTGAATCTGAGCTCTTCGATGCTCGCTGACTCGAAGACCTTGGATGGATGTGCGCATTTTAATTTCGCTCATTTCGCTTATGAGAAGGGGGAGTATTTACATAGCTTCAGGATAGGGGCAGACCAAGACCGAACATTATTAGTTCGGCTGTGCGTAGGAAGGGGAGCAAGAATGACAACTTCGTTGCGAGGAGCTACTCAGAGGGTATGCAAGACAGGATCGGGAAAGTAAACTAGCAGCACGCGCTGCGCTCGTGTCGTAAACAAGCACGACCTGTCGTCTGAGTAAAATCTGGACGTGCTGAGGGATCTGACAAACGTTTGGAAGACATCTTGTGCGTCAATCTTTGCTCGCCTAGGCGGCAGGAGTGCCGTGAAGAGAAGCTTGACGACGAGCGCGGTCTTTGTCGTGGGCGACTTTGGTGTCGCGCAGCTCGTCAATCTTCTTCTTGGTCGACTCGTAAGACGTGGTGGTGGCCTCGGTGTGACGCTTCTTGATCTGATTGAAAAAGGAGCGCTTGCACTCATTAGCCAAGCCTGCATGCGGAGGAGGCACACACGGGGTCATTGCACACTCACATCGAGCTCCTCGACAGCCTTAGCGAGGGCAGCGGCAGCCTTGTCGTGGGCTTCCTTGGCCTTGTTGAATGCCTTGGATGCATTATGCTCCTCCTTGACAGCCGCTTGGTGGCGCTGCAAAGGTACGCACAGCGCGTCAGTGGTGGATGAGGCTTCTGATCATCCGAAGTAACACGCATCTACTCACCTTGACACTCTGTTGTTCAGCCTTGCGGGCCTTTTGCATGGCCTTCTCGTCGGTGTGAGCAGCCTTGATAGCAGAAGAAATTTCATTCTCCTCGTGCTTGGCCTCATTCTTGAGCAGCTTGTCGTACTTCTTGACCTCCTTGGCGCTCAGAGGGCCAGCAGAGTGAGAGGGCACAGAGGCTGCAGCCGCAGAGCCGCCAGCTGCAGCTGCAGCAGGAGCAGCCACGTCAGCAGCCTTCGTGGTTCCGTTGGGAGCTGCAGCTCCGTTTGCGGCAGCGGGAGAAGTAGCAACGGGGCTCGCGACCAAGTTCGAGCCAGGTGCGGCGGGGTCAGCTGCGGTCGCGATGGGCGCAGGAGCAGCTCCGTTGGGAGCAGCAACACCGTTCGCAGTGGGAGCAACACCGTTAGGAGCAGCAGCAGCAGCAGCAGCAAAGCCAGAGCCTGGAGCGGAGCCCACAGCTGGACTGCTTGGGCTGGTGGCCGAAAGGCCACTGGCGTCAGGCGCATGCGAAGTGGTGGTAGTGATCGTCGTCGTCGTCGTCGTTCCAGGAGGAGGCGACGCGAATCCAGAGCTGGGAGCAGCAGAAGTCTCACCAGCAGTGGGAGCGGGCGCAGAAGCAGTAGGGTCGACCTTGAGATCGCCCGTAGCGGGAGCGCCAGCGCCGACGACTGGGTCGTTGGCGCCGATAGCGGGAGGAGCTTCTGCGGACGACATGTTCATAGGTGGAACCAGCGAGATAGGGTGGTCTAAAGCCGTGTCTCTTGGATGAGTGTGGGACAGGATGGGCAAAATGCAGTTGACAGTTGCGCGGGAAGCGGCTGTCAGTAGGTGAGTATGGTGGGTGGTACTTGGGTCAGGGGAGCGATAGCGGAGAGTGATGACGGCAGCCCCCCGGATTTATGTAGCTTTGCAGCTCGTTGCACGAAAAGCGGCGTTGAGTCAGACTCTTGACTCACCACTGTGCGCGCTGCTGCTCCACCCACTCTCCTCGCTGCGAGGCTCCCTCGTGGCGGATGCTGCATGATGTGTGGCAGAAGAGGAGCTCGGGTCAATGCGCCGCTCTGCAACGGAGGCTCCGTAGGGACCTTCTCTGCATGGCCCACGCGCAACTTCGAAAGGACTCGGAGCGAAGGGCCCGCGCGGCTCGTCACCACTCAAACTAGTCAGATGCATATATGCAGTCGACGGTGGTGCATCTGCTGTGTGCAGTACGGTACCGTACAGTCGTGAGTTTGAGTGCGAGCCCTGTAGTCACGATTCGGCGCGCGCCGAGTGTGAGACCGCACGCTGACGCACTTGCGACTTGGATCGAGGCAGGCATCTGCTAGATGAGGCAGAGGTATACGTCATGATTCACTTTGCGGCGTCAGACCTGCAGCCATCCAGCATCGCTGCACCATCAGCTAGCGGTCTAGACCTCCGCACAAGACGACGCTAAACAAAGATTTGAGCGCATGCATGCCTTCGGTGCTTGCTGCTGCGCGCTGCGCTGCTGCGCTCGCCCCTAGCTGTGATTGACTTGGAGTCGTGAGCAGTGGGGCAAGCCTGCGCGCATTTCATTTTGGATCGTGATTCTTCTGATTCCGGTTGTGACGCGCCGTATTCCGCTTGAGGCAGCGATATGAAGTGCGCCGGGAGAGTCGCGAGCTTATGAGCGGCGGTTCGCGTCGCCGTGGGTACACATATAATATCATGCCTTCCCTTGATTTGAAAGCAGGTTGTTTAGCGACCAATCGTAAATAAACGATTGTCAGAATGGTGAATGTGCTTCGGTCACAACAACGTAGTCAGTCGCTTTACGGTAACTCGTGACTCGCGCAACGGGCATACTTTATGATCACAGCAACGGCCAGCGGCTTCGCATTCGCGATTCTTCCTGATGCTGCGTGAGTCTCGAGGACCAGTGTGAAACTGTCATCAATCACGAATACACTGCCATCATCTCATACTCGACTCGTGACTTGATGTGCAGTACCTGCATCGACGGAGCGACCCTCGCGAGATCTACCATCCTGCATCCCGTCATACGATCCGCAAGCGCTCGGAAGAACTTGTCACGGGGTCTAGAATTGTGGCAAAACGCATGACGTACCCCGTTTGCATGGAGAGGAGGGAGAGGGGGATAACGGTGCAACCTTGCTGTTGCTTTGCCCAAGCCCAACACAGCGTGGCGGTTCGTTAAGAGTGATGCGTCCAAACATCCCGTTAGCTTCGAAGGACAGCAACGCTTTTGTTCTTCCCCTTCGCAGCAGCACAAACAAGCCTGCAGTGGTGAGTGCAGATGAAACACAAGTTCTTGCGCGTGCGCCCGTGCGCAGCCCGCCCCTCCACTTTTCGTTCCACGCATCTAGCTGCAACGATCAACATCTGTCATCAGTCAGTCCGTTTTTCGTCAATTCAGATTCAAGATGTGGTCCATGAGGCTGTGCTCGTGACCATCTTCTAGCTCGCAGTCTGACCGGGCGAGCACGAACCACAAGGGAGATACGAGTGACTTCCCCTGAGCCGCCCATAAAGGAGCTAGCACAACTCGTGAGTGATCTGTGAAAGCTTCCTTGGCACATGTTTCACCGGCAAGACCTCCGAAGCTGCCGACGCGGAGAGGTATTATGAGCGTGCGCGGTGGAAGCGGCTGAACACGAGAACGGATAGGCTTTTGCAAAGGTCCGATTCGAAAGCTGCCGAGACAAATGCTCGCCTGCTCTCGCCAGTGTGGTCCACACCACGCCGTGTGACTGGGATTGTGCATGCTATTGGTGTGATGGCGAACAGGTATAATAGATATGACATGAGAAAGACGAGGGAGGCAATGAAAATGTGACGATCAGGAAGAAGCGGGATACGCAGGCGGCTCATCCCAGAACACGCCAGGATCAGAAGCGATGCGGTGCGATGAACGCAGCGATTGATGAATCAAGCGGTCGGACGCTTGTGATGAGACGCTGTTGAGTCCCGACACAGCTGCAGCTGGGGAACCGGAAGGAGGGGAGAGCGGCCGAGCAAGCACAGGCGCTTCGCTGCTTAATGCAAGCCACTGAAGGCCCGACTGATGGGAAGGACTTCGGGCAGAAGAGCTTGCGTGGTCTACATCTCGCGCATTGCTGCTCAGTCTCTCGCGAGCGTGCCTCAACTGGTCTCTGGCTTCAGCTGACATGAGCGTGGTGTCTTCACTCGGTGTGCCGTTGAGCTCGCGTTGCCCCGGGCGTGCCTCAACGGCGTAGCCGTCACGCACACCATATGTGTCTCGTGGCGCTGATGACGCGAGCAACGGTGTAGACGTTTCAGAGCCCGTAGGAGCCATAGGGGGACCTCTCAGCAGCGAAGTGTCACCAGGAGGCAGGCTCCAATAGTCGGGTAAGCTGAGCCATGCATGTGCAGTGTGGCTATGAGTCAGCGCGATCGGGCACTCGATGTTGATATCGAACAATTGAGGCTTGCCCTTCGACAGCGCAGTGGAATTCTTCAGCTTCTCAACTCGTATGGAGAGCTTGACGGCGTGGTGCACGGCAATGTTGCTCTTCTTGTGATTGGTGCTCATGTTGATTCGTGCGGGCGGGCAGGTAGGCGTTTGAAGCTCAGCCGCAAGCTCCCAGGGTCCCTGAGGGTCTAGCAGATTGAGAGAGCTGCTGGCTCGCATCTCTCTATCCGCTTCTGGCCATGTGTGCGTCGCCGCTTCAGCGTAAGGGGTAAGCGGATGCGAATCTAGAGCATCTGGCTCGTCAGATATCACCGGAAGCAGAGCCGCATGGCCTTCAGGAGGGGTGAGCTTGAGCATAGTCCATCTTCGGGGCACTTCGTGCCGAGCCACACGCCTTCCCTTGGCGTAGTAATCAGTCTGTAGGAGGGAAACGGGAAGGAGAAGGTTCGGTGCCTGAATGAGCCTCGGACCACACTGTCAAGCATTCGAGATGCAGACTCACCCTTTCTTCTAGCGTCGCCACGATTCGATGTATGCGGACCTTGTCGAGCGCTACCAATCGGAACCAGACTGGAATCTTGGCTCCTACTGGAAAGCTTCGACCGGACACTACTGCAGCATATCCAAGCGAGTCTTCCCAAGTGCGCTCCACGACGATGCTCTCGTTTTCCTCGTTCGCATTCTCGTCCGGAGCGTGCACCAAGACCACCTCGCGTTCGTCGCTGAGGTTGGGTGTCAACGGGCCCGCGCGCGTGACGTGACCTCTCAGCGTGTAGACATTGGAGCCAAAGTCGGCATGAAGAGTAGGAGGTAAAGCGGCCGGGAGAGGTAGCGAGATGGCGTACGTATACGTGCCCTTTTTGAACTCCTTCCACTCGCTAGGTGCCTCATTCCAATCATGCCCAGGATCTCTAACTTCGGACAGCTCCTTGCCACGCTCCTTGTCTTTGTCGGCTTCCTTCAGAAGGCCACCCAGAAGTCCCTTGATGCCACTTTTGCGGCTCCGAGCGGGAGCGCCGGGGCTGCTCGCTTTGGAAGCGGCGTGCAATCCATCCACACTTGCACGACGACTGTTCGGAGCCGACAACAGTGTCGAAGAGCTCGAGGCTACTCTTGGTGAAGGAGATGTTGGACGGGAGGGCGTGGAATTGGTGGAGTTCGTTGCCGTATTTGCAGCACCAACTGAGCCTAGCGGCGAGGACGCAAGGTAGCCAGAAGGAGCTCCCAACGCGCTCTGCGAATCTGCGGGAGGGCGCGCTTCCTGAGCCGGTCCAAATCGGACTCCAGGGCCCACATGAGTTGAAGAACGCTCTGCACGTTCCTGTCTCCCGGCAGGATGCAGTATAGAGCGCTGTCCTGACCTTGACGCGACGCCAGTATCTGCAGCGCCCTCTCGGTCGCACCTAATCTGTGTCGTGTCCGAGGCGTCGGCGGCGCGAACAGCTAGGGGCGACTGCGTCGCAGGAGCACTGGAAATGTATTGCTCATACGACGGCGGAGGGCCAAGAGAGCGATGTGTCGAGGGTTGTGAGGGACCAGGAGAAGGGTCGAGAGAGCGACCATTGGCGCTGCCCGGCCTGGAGGATGGTGCAGCTTGGGTGCGTTGCAGGTTCACCCCTCCTGCACTGCCGCTCCTTCCAAAGTGAGGACGATGTGGACTGGGTGCGTTTGCTTTCTTCGGCTTGGCTGTAAGCTGCAGCTCCTTGACAACGGTGGGCGGTAGCAAGGAAGTGCCGGCTCTCGCTGCAACTTGAGCCACCTTAGCGAGTCCGCTTTCGCTAGGCGCGCCGTTCGAGTTGTGATTTTTGTGGCTACCCTCTCCCCGCGCTCGAGGTGTCGTTGGGTTACTGGAAGACGCTCGGTCTGGGTCGTAGTACGCGCCCAGAGACCAGCCCTCGGAAGAGTCGCACGCGACGCCTGGGCCAATGCTATTAGCTCGTCTCCGGGGTGTAGGGTCGAGGCGCGCATCGAACAAAGACACGCCTTGCTTGATCAAGCAAGATTCTTCGCCGAGCTCTAGCCTGTTATGTCCGATGCCTAGGAATTGAAAATGGTGCCAAGTCAGTGTCTCAGCTTATGTATGCGCTACTCTGAGCAGCTTACCCTCTGGCCAGTCCGTGCGCCCGACTCCTCTCAGCTCGACAGAAATGTCCTTGATGCGACTTGACTTGGCGAGGTGAAGTGTCAACAGACCCCGCAGCTGAGACGGCGGGGCATCGAAGTCCACTGCACGTCGTCTTCCCCGAGCATCTGAAGAATGAGCGCATGGGGGGAGCTTGTGTCAAGTCAGTCTAGTGACAAGATTGAAATCTCCGCTTGCAATGCGCACCCTCTCCAACGGCAGACTGTCCTCGCAGGAAGATGACGGGCTCAAAGACTGAAGGATTGAAGTAGCTGTCAATCAATCGGACTGCAAAGGAGGTCAGCAGCTAAGCCGCCAAGACTCACGATCGATGTGGACTGAGGTTGGAGGCATTGCGGGTCTGCTTGCGATTACGCGATGCTTGATGCTGGTTGAATGACACCAAAGTCCTCCCGCTGAAGAAAGTCCGTCCGGGAGTGCCGAAGTAGGCGTAGAGGTGTAGATGGTGCGGTCCTGCAACGAGAGCCGGGTAACACCTCTTGCATCAGTAGGTCGTTCCAGGCCAGGGGAGGGGATGAGAGCGGTGCTACCTGCGCATCTCTACAGTCGAGCGCACCCTTGTCGCATTGTCGAGAATGCTCGCAGTTGCAGCTGTGCGTGCTCGCGGACCCGAATCGCTGCGCTGGTGGCAGTGTGGAATCAGGAAGAGAGGGTGCAGGACAAGCGGTTCCTTTTCTCTGGGACGCGAACACCTAGCTCGCCTCTGCTACGGGTCCAAAAGAGACAATCAGCAGGGCCGAAGGATTCCTTAGAAAGGCTACACCGATGTATGTAAGGGAGAAAGAAAGATTCACTAGAATGGTGATTGTTCTGCGTTTGTCGAGAGAGGGGACAGAGCGCCGCCGCTGCTGCTGCATATCTCTTTGGGTGTAGGCCAAGATCGCGACCAGGCACGTCATGTGCACAGCAGCAGGAACGCCAGGCGACACATGCTGCAAATCACGAATGCGACACACGGCTGCCGGGGTGCTGCACCGGTGTGGCGTCTGCCACCACCGTCGCGCTATACGCGGCTGCGCGTACCTTAACAATCACGAATGTGAATAATAAGGTGAAGCCCGCGCGGCGCACTTTCGGCAGCTCGCTCAGTTGGCCGCGGCCTGACTCACTCGTGACTTTCGGGCCATCCATGCCATAGAGCAACTGATATATATATGGCATCATGTGCACCCACGACTAAGCTAGAATCGAATCTCTTCATTCATTGATTATCACCACCGGATGGCTCGCAATGTTCAAGTTGCTTCCCTCTGTATCTGGTTTCAGATTTCCCATTCGTGATTGCTACGATCCGATGAATGTGACTCGTGACTCATCACGAACTTACCTCGCTCTACTCGCAATCGATCATAACCTCCTTCATGATTCAAATTGGATGCTATCTGTCGCTCCAAGCTTCCTGTCCGCGCAGATTCAGTGGTTGATTCGGCCACAGACACTTCTGCGCGTGGATGGACGACAGCTACATAAGGACATCCCTCTCATTCGCACTATTCACTGTCGCAGGCAGAGGGGCGTCGATGACTTGGTGATACAGCCACTCGCACTACGTGTAACTACCGTCGTACTGATGCTAGTCTTGACTCTCCTGGCCGAGGGTCGAAGAGTGGACCAGGCACAATGTGAGTCAGGATTCGTGCTTGCAAGTTATGGCAACTCTGAGCGTCTCAGAAAGTTTTCTGCCCACAATACCCTTTCATCGCAGCTTGCTGACACAAGCACTCACATCAGTGAGCATGTATTCACCTGTCCGACCCCTGACGCCCATCCAGTTGCTCAGTCGGCCTCAGAAAGGCATGCTGATCTGACGGAAGAAAGGATGGATGGCTAGCGGCCACGGCCTGCATAGCTCGAGCAGAGGCGACAACGCGGGGAAATTTAATTCTCCCGCCTTCGTGCGCGCGGGCGAAATTGGAAGCACGCTGAAGTCGGGCCGCGGCACGCCAAATCACGTGCAGGAGCTTTTCAAAGTGGTGAAGGCTCACGACACTCATCAGAAGCGGGGCGGCGAAAACAAAGAATCAGCGCCTTCGAGAGGCTCTCGGTCCACCCATGAGTTCTTTCGAGCATATACTCCAACGCGATCATAGAAATCGTCCGACTGGTCAAGAGCTGCTCACGCCATCCGCAAAGACCTCGATGATTACTCTCACCGCATCACAGCGCTTTCGCGATGACTTTGCAGCGGCAGCTGTAGTCAGAGCAGTCAATTCCGAACGAAGCCTTTGGCGTGGAGGTTGGGCCGACGCCTCAAAACCTGCTGCAGGGTCTCAGCGGGTCTCGTGATCACCGTGATCAGCGGCAGGCGCGCTCTGTTTGGCGTGTTCTTGGCGAGGCAGCTTTCTAGCAAGTCGAAGCACGTTCCCAGACGCATACATCCCCCCGCCATTTGCACAAGTCAGTCTGCACAGGCCACACATCGCTCCCTCTCATACGTGCCGCGGTACTGCACAGTAGCTCGCAGCTCTGCAGCAAAGCTCCTCTTGCTCTTCCCGACAAGCACGTTCCTCCAAGAGATCGATCGACATGACCGTGGGCAGCTCCGCAAGTAATCGTCAGCAGCGCGTCCATTTATCAAGCCGCGAAGAAGGCGCGACGAATGAAAAGTCACCCTCAGCATCGCGCAAATCCGACTTCGATCTGACCACCAATTGGCACAGAGGCCCATCCCCCACGCCCAGAACGACTCGGAATCGTCGAAGAAATCGCAAGGCCTGTTTGCTATTGCTAGCTGGAGCTTGTCTCTGTGCAGCGCTACTGATCCACTCTCGCGCCGGTCTCATCGCATTTCGCTACCGCACCGCCTCGAAAATTCAGCGCGATAGATCAACTTGCGTAGCTGTTCATCGTGCTCCTTTCCTTCGCCTCTTTTGCGCAATGGTAAACAAAGCAACCCCCACGCTGATTGGCTTGATTGCTGCCGCTTCAGCAGTGACGGCGCTCAAGCTTAATCCAACCAAGCCAATCGAGTCGGACACGACTTCGTTCTTCGGAGGTAGAGATGCCTCTATCCTCCAGCACCCAGCTGACTGGAGTCGCGATATTCAACCCATTGGCGTCCATTCGCACAATGATTATTGGAGAGATACGCCTGTGTTGGATGCGCTAGCGCACGGCGTGAGATCCATCGAGTCGGACGTGTGGCTGATGAACGGAGAGCTTTACGTGGGGCACGATCCTTACTCGCTCTCACCCGAAAGGACGTTCGAGAGCCTCACCTTGGCCCCGCTCAGAAAAGCAATCGACCAGGCCAACGATGCCAATGCTTTGCTTTCCAGCAAGTCTGAAGCTGCGTTCTTCAAACCTCTGCAGGATCAACTGCGAACCAGCACTACGCTGCCTTGGAATGGCTTCTACACTGCTGGTGTCGGAAATGCTGCTCCTATACAGCTACTTGTGGACCTCAAGACGGAAGGTCGGAAGACCCTCGAGGCTACCATCAAAGCGCTGCATCCGCTGGAGCAGAAAGGCTACCTGACGACATACAAGGATGGCAAGATCACAAAGGGGCCCATCGTTGTTATTGGCACAGGCAACACCCCGACAGATGCGCTCGCTGCGCTGCAAAGTCGAAACATCTTTGTCGACTGTCCGCTCGGCAAGCTGAGCGAAGATTTCCAAATTGAGGGTCAAGCGTATGCCTACAACAGCACGCTAGTGAGTGGCATCGCGAGCGCAAGGCGCGCCTTTGTTCGAATCGAGCTCAATCCTCTGCGCCCTGGCTGGCCTTTACAGTGCGGAATTGCCAGTACAAGCCTTGGCTCGCTCGCTCCCGGCTACAAGGGTCTGATGGATCCCAGCGCGGATGTTGTCTCAAACCTCACAAAGGCGATCGACGATGCTCACTTGAGAGGCATTGCGACGAGGGTCTGGGATACGCGTGAGTCTTACGCGCCTGATATCTGCCATGGCGTGGATGCTAGAGCTGACGCCCATGCACCTCCCCACTGCACTCGCAGCGGTGTGGCCTAGCTTTGTGAGGGACAGAGTCAACGGGCTCTTGCTGAGTCTGGGCTCAGATTGGATCAACGCCGATGACTTGGGTGAGCAGTCAGATCAAGCCATGTCGCGAACCTTTTGCACCGCTTATTTGGCGTATGCTTGATTGATTGCCTTGCAGATGCCATCCAAAAGTGGTGACTACGGCATTGCTCAGTCGCAAGCTCAAATTTCGTGTTGCTGTACCTGTACATCATTCTGCTCTTTCTCCGTCAGCGCTAAGAGCTTGGGAATGCTGATTGGGCTCTTTGCACATCCCTCCTGCAAGCGCCACACCTGCACCATGAGCCGCAGTGTGAGCGTCGTGCTGAGATGCAGCGTCTCCTCAAATATGGTCAAGTGCAGACAGGTGTGCGAAACGTGGAAGACGCGTTGCGACGGTCGAACACCGATGTTCAGGCATATGATCTGATCGGGATGCCCCAGTCCGCGCTCAGCTTCAGATCCACTCGTGATTGCGCTTCAAGCAAGTGGCGTACACTGCAAGATTTCTGATGATGCTTCAGCATGCTTGAACAGGCTGGAATTGCAGTCAAGTGTGATCATCCAACGATGATTTGCAGCCTACGATGGGCCTATTTGGAGTTCATGTGACAATGTCGCTCCGGCCTCCCAACGTACCTAGCGCGGTTGAGATACCTTTCCCTCGGATCCACCTCGACCAGAGCGGCCTCAAGCAAAAGAGACCGCGCGCCACAAAAGGACGACTGTGCAGCGTCATCGCCTCCCCACGAAATTCAACGCGCCCAGTCAAGATTGAGCAGTGCCATGGTCATCGCATCACCCCCCCCATTTGAGATTGAGCGGTCTTGTGGTCGTCTTAAAAGCAACGCTTGTGACGGAAGCTCCAGAGTCGAAATCATGCCCATCGTGATGCAAATGTGAAGATCGAGGACATGCGTGAGTGTAGCATAGCACGTGAGTTTGTAAGCGAAATCGAGCGAGCTTCGCCAGTATGACGTGCTCATTGTGATCAGTGAGATACGTGCACCAGGTTGGTATCATCGCGACGCTGCGTCTGCGTCAGTCCCGTCGCCGATGCTGGTTCCACTTCCAGTCCCACTACCGCTCGTGCTAAGATCGTCCTCGGGCTCCTCCTTGATAGGCTGCGAGGATCCCCTTGGCGTTGGTGTAGCAGAGGCACGCGCACCAGAAGGACCTGCCCCCGCCGTCGATGGGGCGAGCGAGGTTCCTCTTGAAGACGATGCCATGCTCGGGCCGAATGAAGTGACAGAGGATGCTCTTGACGTGGCAGACTACGCGAGTGGGCGTGGGTTTTACGTGTCAGCTGTTTGCGCGTAAGGCGCCTGCTCCGCTACTCACTCCAGAAACTGTGCTCTCCCTTCCTTGCTCCTCGGAGCTCTTTGCGGCGCGCCTTCTCAGCCCCTCTCGCCTTTGCTCCTCAGCATCCATCTCTTCGCTCTCCTCTTCCGCGTCGATTTCTTCCCAGGCATTTCCCGAACCAGACTGCTCATCCTGCTCTCCCTCGCGTCCCTGTCCATACCCTTCGCTGCCACCCACATCCGTCTCTTCTTCAGTCTCTTCGTCTAGCCTTCCAAGCACACGTCGGCTTCCCATCTCCAGCTCCAATTCCCTCTCGGCGAGCAAAGCCTGCTGTTCTCGCTCGGCTTGCAGCCTCTCCTCTTCGTGCGTCAATGAAGGCACGCCAGTCATTCGTCTCCCCTCCGCAAAATCCCTCATCGCTTCTGCCCTCCTCGACTCTGCTGCTTCGCGCTCGTCCAGCGCTCTTAGACTCGCTCGGCTGCGCTGTTCGCGCGCTTGCAACAGAGTTCTGGCGCGGTTCCGAGCTTCCGTCTCCGTCTCTCCGCCGCTGCCCGCGTCGTCGTCGAGCGGACTTGTCGACTCGTCGTACACGCCTCCCGGAGTCAGTCCGTCGGTCGTGCCCGCCGTGGTGGCGCCGTTGCCGAGCGCAGTATCCTCCGCGCTGCTGCTATTCCCTCCTCGACGTCTCCGGCGACGCTGGCGGTCCACGTAGTTCTCCTCCACCGCTAGATTCGGCATTGCAACCAGGTTAGAAGTGTACAGCGCTGCGAGCGCCCATAGCGTGAGTGCCGAGACGAGCTCAAAAGCGAGAAAAAGCGACGTGAAAAGGACGAATGAAAGGACGGGTCGATGATACATGAACCATCTGAAAGAGGTGGGAGCACTAGCTTCAGTCAGAGCAGTGCGATCGTCGTTGGCAGAGCGATATGCTCACCTCAGGCCTGTCAAGTGCGCGTCGATTCGCAAGCTGACAGCGGATGTCTGAAGCTCCCCTCTACTTCTGAAGCCTTCCGTCACGCCAAGGACTTTTCCGGGACCGATATCCGTCCTCAGCCCACCCACGCCGTGGCCTCCACCATACCTCCAATACTTGTCTGCGTCTTCTCTTCCTATCTTTACCTTGGCCTTGACTACTTGAGCAGGAGACGGCGTGAAGGGATGCGAAGATGAAGCGGGAGAGAGGATAGCTCGTCGCAGCAGAGGCACGGTAAAGAGTGCAGTGGGATTCGTGGAAAGCGGCAAAGCGAGTGAATTTTGCCGTGTGAGTGAATGAGCCACATTCTGGAGAACACGCATGGGCGCTGGATTGTAGGTGATAAGTGCCTGAGTGAAAGGGAAACAAGGTCAGTCAAAGGCTTCGTGCCTTGGCGCGCCGTGGACCGGAGCTCACAGGACGAGCGATGGAGTAGGCTTGTGCATCATCTGCCGAAAAGAGATCGATGGAGACCATGAAATTGCCTGGAAAAGAGGGGTTCACGATCAGTGCTCACGCCAGCCGCCGAGCTCAAAACTTTGCTCACCAAGATCCAAGTTTGCAGCACTGAGAGGCACGGCGAGATCGACGCTGACATCGTACTCTTGGTCGCGAGCGAATGACTGGCCCCTCATGATTCTGGCCAAGTCAACGTCGGCTGAAGGAATCGCCTCCTTGCCATATTGCAGCCATACGTCGTAAGAGTGACCTATATGCGGAACCCAGGCTCTGTAAAAGCCAACATACCCAGCTATGGCGAGCGCTACTGCAGTCGTCCAGATTCCTCCCAGCACGCTAAGACGGAGAACCAAACGATGCGTCTTGGGAGACAAGATGAGAGCGGTAATGTTGTCCAGCAAGGCAAGGAGAGGATCAATGACAAGGTATTGCAGCGCCAGGCCCGGCCAGAGAGAAGGCGGTGGTAGCTGCGATAGAGCATCTGTGATCGTTGGAGGGATGAGCGGTGGAGGTGGAATGCGCGGCGCTGGCTGGACCCGATGGTGTCGAGAGGGCATGGACGATGAAACGCGGCTAGACGACCCCGAGGCGCTTCCGCCATAGGAAGGAGGCGCCATGTCGCCTGCGTCGCGTTTGCGAGATGGATCAACGATTCGTCAAGGACGTGCTCGCTGCGTCAAGAGCGAGTTGCAATCGTAAATGTCACCTATCTGAATGTGAGTGGGGGATGGTGATGGGCACACCGCGCTACGAGCGCTACTCGCGTTACTGACGATGGCGCGTGTCGAGAGGGTGAATCCTAGACGGGCTGGTGATGCACACTGGCGATCTCGCGGACATGGGCCACAGCAAAGATAGCAAACTGGACGTCGTGGTGCGATGTGAGGGGAGAGGGTCGTAACAGTGGTGAGTGGTGCGGTGAGTGTTGTGCATATGTGCAGCATGGCTCGAGCACAGCACGCGTCACAGAGCCGGGTTGAAAGCGCAGCGCGCCAAATCATGAAGGTACAGTCGTGAGTAGTATGCAATGCGCACTCAGCGTGGGAACACTCACTCGCTCACAGCATCTACACACAATGACACGAGGCAAGAGGACTTTTTGAACTGGCCTTTGTGGGCTAAACGGGCGTACAGCATCGTCGTTGTCGCGATGGTGATTGGTTGCTCTCCTGCTCTCACTCACGCTTGCTGACCCCTACCACTGTCGCTCAGACTGCTCAGCACCAGTCGTGGGTTTTGCGTCGATAGTGATCTCTTTTTCCCCTCCTCCCAAGCTCGCGCTCCAAGCATCGTACCGAGACACCGCGTCAGCGCTCTCATGGGCTTACAGTGGCGCTGTGCTCTACATGCTGATCTGAGAGGCGGGTAGAGCGGCCGGCACTCACAAGCAGATCTCTGAGCGGCAATGCTAAGCTTTGTTGTAGATGCCCACCTTCCCACTCAACACTGTGACTGCTGATCAACTCACGACTGACATGCAAGGAGAGAGAGAACACCTTTTGGGCTTGCAGCAGACCTCACGTACGCGCGCACCGCTGCTCTCTACTCACATTCTTGATTTCAGTACCCTTGAATCGTGAATTCAAAGTGAAATTACCAAATCTCGAATTAATCCTGTGAAATCGTGAATTTGAATGTGCGATCGATCTTGCATCTCGCACGCACTCACGCACTTCGGATGAATAGAAAATTCAAGCGCCGGGCCAAGGCGAGCTCCGCCATCACAAAGTTGGCTTGCCCGCATGCAGCAGCTATACGCACAGATTCGCAGCGCTTGCCAGCTTTCCGCTCCGCATGAATGCTCGAGGCGCCCGCCAAGAAGTTTGACTCTGATCATAGAGCAGTGGCAGCACAAGTCGTGAGTCACTGAGCACCCTCCTTACTCAGTGCACAGTGCTCCTTATTCAAGGGCGTTGCTGGGGCTCTCTGAGCAGCTGCTGCAGTCACGAGTGCTGGGCGTCCAGCGAGTGCGTGTGTGTGTAGTGGGTGTCTCGCCTGTACAAGGCCGACAAAGGCACGCCTCTGATATGCACCGTCAGCATCTTCATGCGCGTCTCCGCCTTTGCGACCTGCTGCTGCGCGCGACCAGCACCGCCGCCTGCGTGCTGCTGACCGCGACGCGCGGGCTGCATGCTTTCGGAACTTTCCAGAGCACCGCCTCTCTCTCCCTTTCCTGCGCTCATCCACGCACCGCGCTAGTTCCTCATCTTTTTATCGCTGTCGCACTCTCTCTCACCTTGATAGATCGACACCTCCTTAACCACCACTACCATCACCTGCACCCCCACTCACTTCCTTTCATCCTCGCGGCACCCCACCGCCGACACACGCGGGTCACAATTGCCGACGCTTCGCCTCGCGCGCCTGCTTTCGGCCGTAAGCATAGTGATCGAAGCGCAACTTGCACTGCCCTATCTCGCTTCGCAGCATCGCTCAGGATTCGTCTCGCTACCACACATCAACGCTCACGACTCCTGCCTGCGCGCGACCCAAAATCCTCCTGCCGTTGCAGCTTTCAGCCCAGACCCACCAGAAATGCCTGCTGCTCGAACAGGAAGTGTCGTCGGTGGGCCTGCCGGAGCTTCTGATGTGACTCCAGAGCAGTCAGCTGCAGAGGTGCTTGCGCAGAGGAGGGAACAGAATAAGCTCGCTCAACGCAGATTCAGAGAGAGAGCTAGAGAGGTGAGTTGTTCTTTGCGCATGTGCACAATCGTCAAGCTCGTCTCACTTCACGCTGCTCCCTCTGCATAGGCCAAACGGGCTGTTGCTGCCTCGTCGTCATCGCAAGAGCTTACCGCAGCGACGTCCATATCTGCTCACCGCACACCTTCCGCCTCCGAACACATGTCAGCCTCTTCCAGCTCGAACCCGACACCTTCCAGCACCACTTTTCAGAGTGCGAGCAGTGTCGATCAGCTTGGCACCACTACCGCACTCGGTACGAGCGTTTCGGCTGAGCTTGCAGCCAGTGCGGGATTCTTTGCCAGCCAATTGCAACAGCCAACGCACTTGCCTAGCAGCGTGTTCTCCGCTCCTCAGCAGCCGACCGATGCACCCAGCCCTTTCACACAATGGTTGCAGAATGGCGTCTCGCAAAGCTTTTCCACCAATCATCTGCCTTCCGACATGGTGACAAGCGAGCAATGGACCGACGCGCTAGGAGGAGAGCAGCGCACACCCGGCGGGACATCGGTCGCTGCGCGCGCATTGGAAGATTTGCTCGAGGCGGCCCTGCCAAACACCATTGCTCAGCTCTGCGCTACGAATGCCGAAGCAGCCGCAAGAGAGGCGACGCCGTACTTTCGAAGCACGAGACATGCAGAAGGTGGCAACGTCTCACTGAGTGGAAGCGACGCTGCGTCCCACCTCGGCAGCAGCGCATCGAGCGCGTCATTCCACTCGTCTAGCGGACATGCGCAGTCTTCGCCATCTGGCTCGTCAAGCGGCTCGCCATCGTCGGGATCCTCCTCTTCACCACCTTCCGAAGGCGCACCCATCAACATCATCGATGTTGCCAAGGTGCTTCAGGGCAGCACAGAAAACCTCTTCAAGGATGCGTCCGAATTAATGTCTCGCGAACCGCGCGACCCGCAACGGAAAGCGTACCAGGCTGCCATGGTGCTGGCGGCGGGAGAACAGCTCAAGATGATGAGCAAGTGCGATTTTGACAGGTTCTGCATGTTCAGCAGTCGCTCGCTTGGGTTGGGCAAACCGGTAGACATGGAACAGCGCCATACAGTGCAAGCCATGTTCTGCAATGCCCGAGTCATGGGCTTCACACACGAAGATGTGAGTTGTCCAGCGCGTGCAGCCAATGTGACGCTCAACTGAAGTGGCTATCTCCCTTTCCCAGCTTGCGGACTACGAGGGCGTCTCGGCGCTCGGCGAGTGCTATTTGGCGCGCTGCAGGCCGCAAGTCCATCATAACAGCATCAGCGTGTGTCCGGTCAACGGCTTGCAGGTGACGACGGTCGGGCAGTCGACACAACCCCTCGATTTGCGAACGGATGAAGTGCTGGAACGCAAATGGCAAGAGATGCCGCAGAATATGCTGCCGACAAAATTGCAAATGGCCGTGGAGCGTAAGTTGGGCAGATTGAGTGGTAGTGGAGCAACAGCTTTGGCTGAAATCCTTTCTCATTCGCAGATCATCCGTGGCTGGACGTCTTGCCCTGGCCAAGTGTTCGCGATCGCATTTTGGCGCTGTCGGCGGCCAAGCTGATTGACGAGGACGAGCTGTGAGTAGGCGGGCGTGAGGTGTCACTTTGCTACGAATGCCCGCTCAGCGTGCGTACCTTGCCACCCCTCAGCTGCTTCGACATGTGCATCTCTGGCAACACTGGCGAGGCCGAACCAGCATTCATCGTCATCGGAACTGACACGACTGCGGAGTTTGGCTGGGAAGTCAGTCCCTGGTTCTTGGAAAAGTGGCACATCATCCTCGATACGAATATCCTCATGTACACCAACTTTTGGAGGAAACAAAGAGGGCTGCACGCGCTCGTTTGGCCTGGCAGACAGCGCTGATATCTCACGCGTGCGGCCGTACCCACTCACCACCATTCATCTGCTTTGCATCTTGTACACCTCTACGCTTCTCTGTCTAGGCAATGTATCAAATCGTCACCGTTTGCGCGCTTTGCAGGTCATCTCGTCGACCATTTCCCGTCGACGTTGCGCGAATTTTCTTGTTGATTTGTAGAGATGGATGCCAAGGATGCAGCAAGATACCAAGGCCTGAAGACGAGAACCGGTGAGCCTTTTCCGATTTGCAATTCTGCCACTTGCAAGCTTCCACTTTAAACGCAAGGCGGAAAGTACTGGGCTCGTCAGCCACACCCGGTGCAAAGCCGCCGCCGCAGACTCGCTAGCTATCCTTGCGGCGCACCTCGCATGATCATCGGATCTTGCCTGACGGCTCTCGCGGCTGTGCAGACAGTCCTGCAGCCCCCGCTATCTCTTCTATTCGTCGTGTGTCGTTTGTAATGAAGGCTATTGGGACCAAAATCTGCTAGAGCTGCATAGTCAACAGCGTGAGGTAGCGAGCGTGTCTGCCATGGTGCATCGCTTTGACGCGCGCCTCTAGGACAGTCCAGTGTGGCTCAGCAAGACACTCTGAAGATCTTTCAGGCGAGTAAATTCTGTTCTGGATGTGCCCGTCGAAGAAAGATGGGCGTCGGACGCAGCACTTGGGCGTGAGATTCTAGTGCGGCAATTTTGCCCTTCCATCCTCGGCATGTACGCAAGTCGAGTGTGACTTTTGAGGTGCATCTTGTGCAAGCACGAGGGCAGCAAGAGGGTAAACTCAGAAATCGGCAGAATGCGTTCAATGCGAGACCAATGTCGTCCGAGCGATATTTGATTTGGAAGAAAGATTACATCTTACTAAAAGTTGAAGAAAGATTATATTTTACTAAAAGTGGACACTCCGGGCGAGAACTCTTGGCGCAATGGTAGCGCATCTGATTCCAGTGTTTGCGGACTTTTGCCCGAAGGCTCCA